TCTCCAAATATCACATCGAAAACTTTCACATTTCCAAACAAGAAAGTACATGACGAATAAGCAGGACTAACAACTCACAACACTTGATCTAATTTCTAACTTTCCTCATGTTTGAGGAATGTGGAAATTTGGAAATTCTTAAAATGAATGAAAACTTATAACCTCCACCCAGAACTCAAATTCGTGTAAAAATTAAAAATTAGGTTTTTTTTTTTCTTCTATTTCTATGCAATATATCAAGAACTCAAAACTTGATTTGAGTTTTTAAATCACTATATATGGTATTCGAAATTCAACTGCTTTAGGATAATCAATCCCAACAAAAACCACATGGTATTTAGGTATGGTGTAAAAACAGGCAAAAGGTTGAATGTTACAATAATCGATAGCTACCGGAAGCAGTAGTCTTAGGAATAATGCTGTAGCTGATCAAATGTTTACAGCTACGCAGTGACGCCTCCTGCTGACTCCAACTGCGCCTTCTCTCCACTGCTCCTCGACATCTCGCAGCTGATGGTAGTCAGGATGGTAATGACGATAACGCGTCTACTAATGCTCCTGCTCTAGCCTTTGATGACTGCTATCATATTAATATTTCTAAGTAGCAAATTTATCGACATGAGTATGTTGCATTTGACTAGTTCGGGGGATTTGATGCATTCGTTTACCAGACAAACCAACGATGAGAAGTTCAACTTTGACTTAAACTTGAGTTAGAGTGATGAGAATCGCTTTAAACGCTACTTGCAGAGATCTGTTGCATAGTTCTCTTTTAAATCTTACAAGTCTGTGCTAATTACTGACAAGTAGTGCTGTAATAAGTTCACATTTTTCTCCTCACTTTAAAACTTCCTAAAATCAAGTAAATAATCATTGAATGGTATGATTCCCTAGTCAGACATACAAATATTCAGTTGACATCACTTATGGCACGTCATCGAGCATAGTATCAGTTTCCAAACGAAGCTTCATCATAGCTGCTGGCTCCACAAAAGATTGCGTTTTAATTTTGGAAAAAACTTCCAAATTGGAAGACAAAAAATAACCACTGAAAATAATTTTTTGATTCATTAGAAAAGACAAAAAGTGATATGGATGCAGCGTTGACGCAATAATCAAAATAATATATTACGACATACCGCTATGTATCTCATCCATGTATTTTTAACAATTTCTGAAATCTTACATTTACTGAGTGATCAAGAAGTGAATACATTTTTCGTCTTTCATTTTAGTTGAGCAAGATCACTCCAGTTTCGCAAACTTTCGAATCAAAACAATTCTCCACTCCTATCAATACTGTGATCCTTTTCCATAGAATTTATTTAAGAACCTACTGTAAAATATCATCGAATACTCGACATATTATGCTGAAAAGTGGCTTAATCAGAACGGCTTACTGCGATGTTAATGTAAAATTTTGATTTCCACATGATTTTGGCTTTATCCAATTAAAGTCAAACCATCAATGATTACTAACCCAGTTATAAATGTAATGCTCAGTATGTATGATGTCATTTTAAATAAAATAAAGACGCTATTTTCAATGATTTTAATATCTACTATAATATGAAATAAGTAGATAATATGCCAGTAAAAGCATAAATTATGGTAACAAACTAGGATTGTCGAAGAATCCCATCTCAATAAGAATCACTTTGTAAAAACAATGATTTATAATTTCTGGAATTGGTTTTTCATTTAATTTATAGTTCCTGAAAATGTTTCAAACTTCTATTTCGACAGTAAGAATTTGAGAGAACTCATTTTTTTTAAAGATTTTCAGGCACTTCTGTGTAGTTTACAAAGATAACTGCACAAATAATTCAAAGTTATACAATTTAGTTCTTTCTGATAAATATTTTCTTCAAAATTATATTTTAGTGGGTCTTATTTCAAAAAAATTTTGACTTTTAAATTGCTTTTCGAATTCCTTAGAAAAAAGATGGGTCTTTAACCATCAATGAAATAGTCAGCATAAATTATGGTAACAAACTGAGGTATAAACTCAGATTATACAGTTCAATAGGTAAGTGGTGGGAGCAATGAAATCCGTGTCAAATGCAGTTTCTGTTAAAAGAAAGAATTAACTGCGGATAAATTCAAAATTTACGCATAAACTCTGTATAATTATTCTGATGAAAACAAATGTCATAAGTTTACAAAACTAATATATATGCTATGCCGTTATATTTGAATATAGTAATGTGATGTCGAATTTCTTTCCAATTTTCGAATTTGAGCCTACTTTCACCGACCACTGTTCCAAGAAAATTTCAAAAAAGTTGTATGAACATAGTGCTGTAATCATATTAAAAATAATTATATTTTGTTTCCACAAATTTTGATCGTTGTGGTTAACTCACCCCACTGACTTTCATCATGTTATTTACGCAAAACATGATGTAAGGTAAATATTTCAGTTAGTTTAGGAATATATTTCAAAACTGCATTATAAAGCTAACACAGTTGGAATATTTGTAGATGTGCTGAGAATGTGGATAGTAATGAAAGCTGATGGTGAAGTGAAATCTGGAAAAACAACGCCACTTGTAGTTCCATTTGCTGCTCTACGTTCTCCAAAATCATCGAGCTGCATATTGTGGAGTAAGCTTCTGATGAGTCATCTTTCTAGTTTTATTTATTGCAAAAAATCCCTCCACTTATTCTATCTATTATTTTTAATAAGGATACAAAATGATCAAAAAAGAATTACCTGGAAATGTTGCAAACTTGCTAAACTTTTGCATTTTTGAAAAGGGAAACAATTACACTCAATAAATTAACGTAATGAAGCAGATGACAGTCATAATCAATTTGCCCCCTGTGAAGTGTTAAGTGCAAAGTGATTCGTAAGCACCACCTTAATGTTATCATTCTCATCACTACCGATTCGTTTGTTCATTTGATAAACAAAGGGAAAAGGTGAAAGGACTGCGATTATTCTGCATGATGAGAGAGTGCCCCTTCTTTCTCTGTACAACTATAAGTTATCAACCATCGATCGTTTGATGCTCGGTATAGTGACTCTCAGTAATGGAGATACTGCGTGTCTAAGCTTTGACCAGGGCCTTGTCCAAGACCCGGCGAACAATTTTTGGCTGCCTTCCCAGGAGGGAGGGCAAGTTTTGTTTGTGATTGTCAGTAACATCTGACGTTGGTGTGGTGTGGTATGGATTAATTTGGGGGATGATACTTGTTAAGGGTGAACCAGGAGGTAAGGTGCATCACAGCTGGGTGTTGTTGAAGGGTCTTCGTAACATTTCTGCACTGCTTGATTTAGCTTACTTCTTTTCAAGACATAGAAGCAGAACAAAGTTAGCAAGCATGCAATATTAGCAAGAGTAATTATCCGCAGTTTGATTAAAATAAAGAATGAAGTACTACAGGAAATGTTCTACCCAAAGCCGAATTTATCTAAAAATGTCAGTGGCCCTGTTGCACACAGAAGCCTCTGACAAATTCTAAAAATCTCGAAATAACAAAATACTCTGGTAATATCTGCTAATCTACTGCTTGTACAAAAATGAAAAGTTTTTGACCCACCAATTTCAAAGATTTAATCAAAGATAGGTAGCGTTCGAAATTAATAGTATTACTACAAAATATTGTGTAAAAAAAAATATTGTGTCACTTATTGACCTATACGAAAAATTTTAATCAAAACACTCAAAGTATTTTATTTGCTAATGCTTGACTGTTTACAAAAATGCCTCTTTGCATTTCATTTTTGTAATGAGGAAATACTTTGAAAATGAATAATCTTTCTGCACTTGGCTGACGTTCTTCTATCTTGAGTGCGTGGATTCATGAACACGTGTCTTTTTTCGAGTCTTACGACTGCTCCTTGCTTTATTCGATTTCCTGTCCCCATCGTCTCCTAAATAATTCTTTTTATTTCCATTTTCCATCAAGTAAAACAGTATTTCAAGCACTGAGTCAGTAGTGTTTCAGATAATCTGTTTGCAAACTTGTATGTTAAAGTCTATTTTTGAAATGAATATACTGTCAACATTAACAATATGCTACTTAATTTTATCTTGTCTGTAAGTGAATAGAAGTGAAATAAAAGAAAAGAAATATTTCATTTATTGAGCTAACAAAAATCAAATAATATATAATGATTTGAAAAGTTTTCGGAGTGATTCATCAAATTCCATTATAGCTCACGAATTAGCGCGAGGTGAAAATCTCTAATAATGATTAATGTCACAGCCATGTTATCAGATGCATTTTCCAGTAAGAGTGATATGACTTGTTAGAAAACATATCTGAAGAAATGCTGAAATCGTGCATTTAATAAAATAAATTGAAAACAGCTTTCTATGAATTACGTTACTTTCTACATCTCATCGTCTATGTCAATTTGTAACGTTTTGTATGCTTATAAAACTAGGTCAGTACAGCACATAAGGGTATCATTGATCATCGAACACTTCATATAGTTGCACTTTTCTAGGCTCATATTTAACTAATCTTAGTTTATGATTTCCGTAATTTGATGATAGTGTTTCCTTCAGAATTACGGATAAGAAGGGATACCGAAGAATTAACAGTTTTTTTCGATTTCTCGTATCCGAAATGATTTTTAAGCAATATTATAAAATTGCCGGAATGTAATCTATGTTTGTTTATCCAACATGCTATTTAACAGGATCAACTAGCTGGCCTATTAAATTGCTCGGAGAATGATGAAGATGGGAATTTTGCACAATGAGTTTAGACGGCGATGCGACACTTTGTTTGGTTTCTTGCCAGTATTGTTTAGATTTCGGATTTGTTTGTCATCAAATGAGTTGTCCGGCAAGGCTAGGGTTTTTGTGTAACGGAATGCATGAGATAAGAGGGCGACTTGGCTGATTTCTGTAGAAGTGGAGGAAAGTTAACTGGGATAAATTGTCTATAAGAGACGTTACTACCTATGGAAAATATTCAGATGTGGTGGGGATAGAGTTGGATATTTTCATCCATCCCGTTATTTGTCATGGTTTTTAGTGGTGATGACAAGTAATGCTGACTTGTCAACAATAGATAAGATGGCCCAAGATGCTTACAATTTGAGCGAAGCGTACCGTTTCAAGGAGCAAGCGAATGTTCGATATAGCGAGAAAGATTATGCGTTAGTTAGTTTGTTTTTCACATTTTCATTCTGGTGATCCAGTTCTAACTGCAGAACTATTTCAGTAAATCTTTTATATTGTAGGTTTTCATTCTGTCCCTAGTGTTTCAGTCTTTTTTTATAAAAAAAATGCTTGGCTTGACCTTTTTTTTTTATAAAAATTCTTTAGATTGTTATTTGAAGCCAAACATCTGTAAATTCAATCCCCCACGTTATGATGCGTTTGTTTCCATATGCATATGCTCTAACTTTTTATTAATATCCATCTCTAATTTGAGATTTTCAGTAAATATAATGTGGCATTGTTAAACATTCGTAAGTTTCACTCAGTTGCCTCTAATATCCATATGAAAGAAGGCAAAATTTCTGACATTTTTCCAAGTTGTGATTTCAGTGCAGCGATCTATTTATACCATCAGTGCTTACTTCGTGCTCGAGCGATCCAGCAACTTTCACAGTTTGGATTGCAGAGTTGGTATCGACTGTTTGTTTCACCTTTTTTATGGATTACATCAACCTTAATGTTTTCTGAGAAAACAGGGAGGTTGTTGAAGTTCAGTGGATCACTACTTTAAAGGGCTGAGAACTCTTTGTTCTTCCTAAAACTTGCTTTCTTAGCTCCCAAAAATTGTTTAATGATTATAAAGCTGAATGAAATTGTAATTGCATTTATGCTACATTCAGTATTGTTATTTTATTGATTTGTTTAAAATAATCGCTCTTTTTAGGCTTGGCTCGCATGGAGCGAAGTGTAGATGAGTCGGTAACCGATCAGGAAGAAAGTGCAAGCGCGGAAGGAAGCAGTAAAGTTGTTGATATGAAGCATATTGCTGGTGAATCGGTAGTAAGTTCTGTCTATGTTCAGCAATCACAGTAATTTAAAGTAAAATTAACACAGAACTCTCTCTTATCTCATTTTTATAAGGAGAATTATATGAAGTTTATGAAAAATTATATGAAGTTTATGTAAAAAAAAATTATATGTAGTTTATCTTAGAATTTTCAGTATTTAATAACATTAGAAGATCTGAAATTTCAAAAATTCGTTTGATTCGTCTAAAATTGGTTGAAAGGTGATAATAATTCTTCTTTGCCAAAATATATGTGTTTTTCACTCATTAACTGATGTTACTTTTCGCTATTTTAATACTGTGAATTAAAAAAAAGGTGAAGGATGTCGAAAAATTTGGCGAAAGGCGCAAAAGAATCAGTTCAACAAGTCGCGGTGAAGAAATGAAAACAGAAGCAACTGTTATCGCATTGAAGTGTTACGCTAATTTAGCAGCATGCATTTTGAAGGGACAGAATCGTACTGAATCCGATTTTCTTCGTGCTGTAGAATATTGCGATAAGGTGAATCATGAATGGTGGCGTTAATGTGTACATATACTAATTAGTATTCAGTGTAACCTTTTGACCGAAACAATTTGAGCAATAATTTAAAGTTGAGAACAGAGTTACAGTAAATTCTTATTTCTATGTTTCATACGAACCTGATCTTTTCTTAGGTCTTATCAGTGCAGCCTTCGAATGAAAAAGCCTTATACCGTAAGGGATTGGCGCTTTCAAAAGTAAACATGTACGAAAAAGCAATCGCAGTACTTCAAAAATGCAGTTGCAGTAGTATGTTTTTGTATTTATTTGCTTTTTGAATGGTGTTTATGTGTTATACAATGACTTTTTTGCATCGGTATAGTAGAAATAACTCTCTTACTTCACGTTCTCATATAATTATGGCTTTTATTCATTTTCCAACAAAAATTTTTGAAATTCCGGGTTAGAAAATTAAAAGTTTTTTTTACTTTAAATGAAACTAGTAGGTGGTTATTGGCTGAAAAGTAATAACATCCATACTGAAATCTCGTATCAAATAAAAAACAAGTCTTAATCCTATAATTTTAAGATCGTGAAGCACAAATAATAATTGATGAATGTCAACAATTATTAGAAGAGGAACGACAACGGCGAGATGATCAAATTCGACGTAATTTCTCACGTGCATTTGGAGCTAGAGTAAATGGACATTATTTGTTACAGGTTAGATTTCCTTAATTGATATCTTTGAAACTTCTTATTGTGAATTTCTTGCAATTATTCTCAATAAATCTGTGTTTAAGTGTTATTGTACATTGCAGTTTGAAGAAAAATATGACTTCAAGTTTGTTTAGAATCCTTAGCTTCTGGTAGAAAATTGCATTAAGATCGACTAATATTAGCTTTGCAGTATTATGTCATTTGTTATTTCATTACAGTGCGGCGGAATCATTTTGCACATTTTTTACAATATGTTCAACTTAAAACAAGACCTAGTTGAACGCAGCGCAGTAATTTGATTTCGTACTTCATCACTGCAGGAATATAATGATGGCGTTGTGAATCAGATAATAATGAATGGAAATGCCAATACAAATTCAGGTGGTGAGCATCGCTTGAATCTTCAGTAGCAAAACTAAGCTTTGTATTCAGTTTTGCAGCATTTGAATTATCTATTTTGGATTTTCAAGATGAACTAGTGTTGGGTAAAAATTTCCAGTGACATTGTGCATATATTTATTCGTTGTCTGTATCATGAGTAACCTAGCAAATATGTTTGCTGTTGTTCCGTTTTTATTATATGAGAATTTTCCATGTTTATAAATAATTTTATGTATGTTGGTTATATGTCTGGAAATTTTTTTAGAATAAAATCCGTGATTGAACGATTATATTCTATATTATCAGTTTTGAAGGTTATTTCCTTTCATCCTTAATTTTTCATGGTTTTATTTATAAATATTCTGAAAAAGATTTCAGTAATCTGCCAATCACGCTGTTATATATTAAATCTGTATTATTTGGGGATTTAGCAAGTGTAGTGTTTGTTGTCATAAAAATCATTTAACTTTACAATTCTAGTTTAACTTCTACCATTTAACTATTAATTTAACGCTCATGGTTCTTTATGCGATTGAATAAAGTTGTGAAACGAAAATGCCAAGTGAAAAATCTCCTTTGTTATTTAAAATTTTTCTGAATATTCGTCCACAAAAAAAAAATTCCATGTGTTATGGAAGTTGGATAATTTTCATTAGTTTGAATTTAATGTCATGTGTGGTTGCTTGAAGGTGCTGTTGTTGATAGTTTGTATTGATAGCGTTTGCCCCATGGAGTGATTCTGCTGGGAACTTGTTTTATGCTTTTATGAATTTTTAGGATGCTGTTCAACAATGGAACATTTCATGAAGGTATGGAAGTAACAGCTTTTGCTAAATGCATTATTGTTTACTACCAGGACTTATAAGTTACTGAAGTTTTCGTTATAGTGCAATCAAATATAGGTGTTGCGATAGTTTTTTTTTTTTTTTTTTTTTTTCTAATTAAAGGAAGTTTTTAGTAGCTATGTAGGAATAAATGGAATCAGTTTCTGAAATTTTAAGCAAAAATTTAAGCAGTTTCTGAAATTTGAATGAACTATAATTCTTTTGTTTGCGTCTTAGATATTATTGTGGCTTCCTTCATGTTTACATGCTTCGCGTATTAAAAGATCTCAGCGGTTGTGAAGATTCATTATTAAATGAAGTTGGTGTAGCGAGTGCAGGATGGTAAAACGCAAGAAATCCAAAGGGGTAAGTTGGAATTTCTTGGATGCTGAGGCTGGAAATTTCAGTAGCTTTGGAATTTCTGCACTAATGTATTGTGTTTCTTGTCAGGAATCAGTATCTCTTGATGGTTATGAATTCAACATAGCAAAGTTACTTTTCAAATTTTCAAAATTTTTGACGCCACAGATTGGAAGCGTCGTCACTTTTCGTGTCGGAGGTGTCCAAGATGCAGTTGTCATCGTTTTACCAACAGAAACTGTACAATAAGCTAATTAGAGTTTTAATTACTCAATATTTTAAAGTAAAAGAAATCGGATAAGTAATGTCACAGTAAATTAAAAAGACAGGAAATAGCTCAGAGGAAAGGAAATGAGAAATAATTTCGAAAACAAGTAAAAAAATGTGAAGCACTAAAAGAAACTTAATCTTACCTACTTAATGCCATTTTTATTTTGCTCCTCCTTGAATTTCAATATCTGGATATTTCGTCCAAAGATACCCAAATAGGTAAGATCAGCCTAACCTCGATTTTGTCGAAACTGCATCACTGCTTCGAGTCTATTCGAGCTGTCTTGTTTAAAAGATTTACAAATAGTACATATAGCAAAAATGAAAAAAAAATGAAAAATTTTTTTTTAGATCATTACCAATTTAGCTTTGATGCTAGTAAAAAGTTCGACACAATCGTTTAATAAAAATTTTGGTTTTTCATGATAAATGCAAAAAGAGGAAGGTAACTGGATTGGCTTTGTTTAGTGTAAAGTAACAGGTGATAGCATTATGTAATGCTATGTCTATTAGCTTAGCTAAACTTGAAAAAACGAACAGAAACAGAAATCATTGTAGAAGAAAAGCAAAAGAGAGAGCACAGTGGAGGAACTAGTTACGATGGCCACGGTAGAAGATGATGAAGGAGCGGTTATACCGACAAGACCGAAGAAAAAATCAAGCTCTGATCAAGCACTGGAAAAATTTGCGCTTGCTACTGTTGCTAAAAGTACTATTTGTCCGGTAAAAGTAATGAATGACAATTAAGAAATAATACTCATTTTTTCAATCTCCTTTATTCCAACAAAATAGAAATCTTAAGTTTTAGATAAATGCACCATCCCTAATGATTCGTGATATCGCAGAATAACGAGTTAATTAAATGATGTGGTTTATAGTTCAGCATAAGGTGGAGGTTTTAAAATCTCATTCATGATGCACTTAACTTTTGAAATGTCATGCGATGCTAAGGACCTCTATTTCGTGACATAGAGCAACAGAAAAACTTTTCAATTACCAAAATTGAAAGTTTCTTATTTCCTTTTGTCACTTGATTAAAGGACAGCAAGAAAACTGAAGGAGTAATACTTGATAGGCTCACACTTATTCTGCTATGTAATTGATAAATTTATTAAAAGCTTTCATAGTTTTTGTCGAAAAGGGGTTCTGTTTCTTCAAGAAATAGACGGTTTGCGAGCAGAGTTTGCAACATTGAAAACATTTGTGCCGACAGCAACTTCACAAGAAGCATTTGATCGGAATAAGGATTGCAACCGATACAACAATATTATTTGCTATGATCACACAAGAGTTGTACTAAAGTAATTTGATTACCATTTACGCTAATAATTCGTGCTTTTCTGCATTTAATATATATCTCACAAACGCAAACAGCAAGTGCATAAGAAAGGAGTATATACCTTAAATTAATTACTGGAGAACATGTCTTTCCACAGATTCAATGTGCCTCCAGATAGGGATTATATTCATGCTAATTATGTTCGGACATCACTCTGCAATCTTCCCAACAATTTTATTTGTACACAGGTGTGAACAGTTTTCTTATGAACTATTTTTACCATGTTAGCTGAACTTTCCTGCTATAGAAATGATCCTAAATATACATAATAATATATCATATTAGCGTATCTGACATTGATTATACGATTTATGCATAATGTCGTTGCACCTTGCCACCATGAAGCTAGAAGTATTAAAGGGCCCAATGGATTCGACAGTGAATGATTTTTGGCGGTTGGTGTGGCAAGAGAAGCCAAAAACTATCGTTATGTTGTGTAAAGTGATAGAATGCGGTAAGCAAAAATGCTCCCAATATTTTCCATTGAATCAGGGTGAAACAAAGCAATACGGAAAGATTATTGTAAAAAACGTCCGGAAAACTTCATCACCTTCAGAAAAGGTTTAATGATTTCAATTTTTACCTTATTTTCTGGAATTTATTAAAATTCGTAAAGCAGAATTATTTTCTACTGGACCATTTTTATTGTGAAGTTATCAAAAAACTTGTTACATCTTTATTATTTCCATAAGTCTTCACTTTCAAGATTTTTGTTCTGGAAATATTATTGGAGAAATCCTCAGGTTTTTGAAGCAATTCAAATGAACATCAACGTGAAGGGAAATCCAGCAATTGTATTAACCCTATTTAAATGGTTAGACTGGCCAGGTAAGTGAACAATTTAATTTATTTGAATTTTATATAAAATTTCGTTCTTTGCAACTTTGCATGCAGCTAGCATTTCCGGAACCCTGTTTTTTCTGCTAATTTGAAAATAATTTTTACAAAAAAAGCGTTACGGAAACAAACTGTCACACTATAATTCCTGATCTTTTAACTATTCTGAATCCTTAAAGTGCTGAATTTATGAAATATGAATAGTCTCGACGAATTTTTTGGAATCACTTTTTATAAACAGCAATTTGTCTTCCGATGTTTCTACAAGGAAAAGAGTAATTTCAGACTTTGGAGTGCCAACATCTGGAATGGGAATGTTGCGAATCCTGCGACAAATTCGAGATCAACCTCGAAGCACAGCAATTATTCATTGTTCGGCAGGTGTCGGAAGATCGGGGACAATCATTGCATGCGAGATCTGCTTGAAGATCCTTCTTGAAGGGAAAGATCTCAATGTAAGGTTTATTACTTCATTTTTTGAAAGTAATATCACAATAAAAATGGTGTGATATGATTTTGTTTAAGTTGTTTATTTGTTCGTTACAGTTTTAACATATGAACACAACGAGCTGGTACCATATAAACAGAAGGGTAATGTATACGTATTTGCATAGGCATATGAATGCATGTTTTCACCTTTGTTGTCATATTTTTCAGGTATCAGTATTCCAGAGGATAGAATGATCTGTTACAACTTCTAGCGCACTTTCTAATCTTTATTTCAGGTGCTGGATGTCATAAAAGAATTACGAACACAGCGAGCTGGTGCTGTGCAAACAGAAGGCCAATATGTATATTTGCATAGGACACTGTGCGAGTATATAAATGCTAAAAAAATTGCGAAAGAAAAAATCGCGGAATTCTTTACGTCCTATTTGGCTTATGCAAGCAGTTGTAAAGGAGAATAATTCTTTCAATGTTATTATTGATAAGGATGCTTAATGAATGATGATGATGCAATAATAACAGCAACATTTCTTGAACATACTTGAAACATCCCAAAATTCCACAGTCTCAATAAAAAATCCATTTATCAATTGTCTGACTATTGTGCTTCAAATAATTTTGCAAAACACGAAATAAAAATTGGAGTAATAAAACTTTGCATTATTTCATTATTCACATAAATATGTAAACACTTGATGATATTAAAAAAAAAAATCTCATACAAATATAAACTTGGTGAATATAAATAGTGACCTAAGTAAAATATTAATTTTATTAAAATTTCATTAATATAATTAATATAATATAACTATATTGGATTATATAATTACATTAATTATATTGAGAAAATAATTTAAACTTAATCGGAGAAGTATGTCTTTACATACTTATTGTTAATTAAATCTGGATGTTATCTAAATATCGAATGATGAATTTCGTGATCTCCTGTTCT